GTTGATTGAGCGTAATCATAAGACATTAGTGGCTTGAATTATTGATAACTTTTGATGCTTACATTATATTTAAAAGTGGTTTTGGACAAAGTTGTAGCTGATAAAATTTACTGTGGGCTCAGTTATCATTATTTAAAGCAGAGCGATATGGTAAATTGTTTGATGGATATGAACAAAACATTTGGTTTTCCCATAGTAATTTCCATATAAACTTCAAATGGTTTGTGCCAAGTCAGTTTCTTATAGAATGAGTTCAAATTTTGGGAAGCCTCCCATTTAGAATTAGCAAGTTAGAACCCGATTTTGAACCGTATGAGCACTGTGGAGCGAAAATGTCAAAATTTGCATCAGTCTAGTGCACACCTTACCGGCAGTATCTAACTAAATCCGAAAAAAAGATCACGCGCGATAGTGGTTATCCCGGCAGGAAACAAACGGATTCCCAAAACAAATCATGCTTAAATACATACAAATTCTTAAAGCTCGCAGTAGAACGACGTGAAACGTGAGAAACCAAGAAATAAGTTACATGGGAAACTTTTACATTCAACCCATGTTAATGATTACCATATAACTGTTTTAGTTCATCTTAAATATTTTGCCGAAAACAGAAACTCGAAACAACGTGAAGCAACAGTGCGACCTGATGAGTAAATTCTGAGCCTAACTGTTTACCATAGAATAGGTCTAGTCTCCCTGAACAACTTTGTTGGAGATATAAACCTTCTATCAAGTCCATCTGAGGGCAAACAATTCAAAATGAATGCCACACTAGCGCTGCTTGCTGAGTGAATTCTGAGCTTCTCAAGTTAAGGCAAACAATAAAAAAATATTGTCTCACTAGCACCACCTGGTGAGTTAATTCTGAGCTGAAATCTTTATAAAAAAACAGCTCTTTTTCATCTGAACAGCTTTGCCGAAGACGGGAACCTTCTATCTAGTCAAGATGTCAAGTTAGGATAAATAATTAAATCTGAATTATCCTTAAGCCTTCAGGTATTGTCCATTTGAACAACATTACCGAAGACTGAAACCTTCTATCTAACCCATATGTTAAGTTAGGGTAATCAATGAAACATGAATTGCACACTAGCGCTGCCTGGTGAGCGAATTCTGAACAAAACCCTTTACTTTAAAATAGTTCTTGTCCGTCTGACCAACTTTGCCTATGACGGGGACCTCATATCAAGTCAAGATGTTAAGTTAGGACAAACAATGGGCAACTAACAATTTAATCAATATCACACTAGCGCCTCATTTTGAGTTGATTATGAGCTAAACTCTTTAAATTCTGAACCAAAATCTGTTCTTTAAGATAGGTATTATCCATTTGAACAACTTTGCTGAGCAGGATCTATAAATAGCGTTACATAATTAGTATTAGAATTAGCATTGACCAAACTACACAATATCGTAGGTACGAATTCCTAACTGTTGTTAGGAGAAAAATGGATATCTATTTCAAAGTGTTTTTACGTTACTTCATATGCAAAGCGGAGCAACACAATAGTTGGGTAAAGAAGAATTGCATTATAACACACCCACCGACAAACCGACATGAAACTTAAACTTAACTCTTGATCGAGAATCCAGAGCGGTCGATTCAAATGTGCAGCGATCCCATCTGTCAAAACCATAGAACTGTTTTATCTAGATAAAAATAATTTGTCCGAAATAGATTAGCCACGAACCAACTCATAAATTTTGTACGCGAGTTCGTGGCTAGGATACATATGTTCCGCGAACACGTCGGCAGATGTGAGTTTTGTGGTTTGATCAAAAATTTCTTTGTAATTTGTATGATCATTCATGTCGGTTTGTCGGTGACACACCATCGACTGGAAATGCTTTCGGCAACTTGGGACTTTAGATAGCTATGAAATGTCGCTAGAACTATTCCACAGCCGCAGACAGTAAGTCAAACGTGTACTTTTTTGCCTGCAGATTTGAAGACATACTTCAAATCTCCTCGTACGTCGTACGAGTTAGATAAAGAAGTGTGCGTTTGACTTGTACTGTCGCATTTATGGCCTTTCACTCATTTTCAACTTCTATTCAATTTTCATTCTGCCGTACTCTAACGGAACCATCTACCTACCCTCTTCTAAGACCATTCTCTAGCTAATAAATTACCACACTAAAGCTTCATGTTATTAATTTTGGTATCCATGACAGATACACACTTAATTCAGATCACCGAAGTCGGTAGGAATTTACCGGGTTTCTGAACAGCAGAACAAGTCGGTAAAATTTTCAAATGACCGTTACACGTGAGAAATCAAGAAAATTTATAAATTTTATTTTTCATCAATAAATGGGGTAAGCCGAACAAATTCTGTACAAGTTCAGAATAAATTTTCTAATAATTGGATTTTTCACTGATTTTTAAACTTTTACCGAACAGTTCTGTAGTTCAAAATTTACCGAACGATGGAGGCCTGGATTAGTGTGTACGTATTTCGACTGCAATGTGCTATGTTCATCAGTATCATTCCCACTATAGACTTATCAAAAACCTAACCCCCTTGAGTACTCATCCCATAGGTAAAACGTATCCAACGTATCTATTGTTTATTGATGTATAAACAATAAATTGGTGATTTTTTTTTTTTATTGGGTATCAAGCTGGAGCTGCGTGACAGCTTAGTTTTCAAGACTTGACCCGTTTGAATAAATTTTGCTTCTATCTTTGACAATACAGCAGAAGGACTAGCCTATGTTGGCCGCTTGAACACTAGATTACGTATGTATTGTTTCAAGATAGTTATAGAAAAAATGCTGTGAAGTGTGCGCGTAGATACATTCGCGTAATAAACCGATTGAATAAGTAAATCCGTTTCGAACGAAATATCTAAATTATGTAAGTTACGAAAACCACGCGAATTCCGAAAGCCATGCAAGACAACCGAAGCGAGAAAAAAGGCTTATTATCATTTAAAGAGTGCCACCAAAATAAATGTGATAACCTACGTTGGCAAGTTGATTAATTTTGGTTTCTTCCCTAGATACTCTACTTATTTTACTGTTGAGCTTTGTTTTAATTTAGTTATTTTACCACACGTATCAATCATTTCAAGATTTCCCGACCGTACCGAACTAATTCTATACTACAGAAGCTCAAAAAAACTTTTGGTGAGTTCTGCCTAAGCTCCGTAGACGTAGGCGTATTGATTCTGACAGCCGTGAAAAGTTGAACATGCATCAATACCACATAAGAAAAGATCGATTTTACCTATGGTTTAGTTCATAGATCAACATTGACTGCTGTTTAAAAATGTAAGTACTTGAACACTAAGAAATAAGTTGACTCAAATGCTTTAACCACATATATAAGAGATTTAGCGTATTGAGAGAATAATATAGTAATCGAGTACAACAAACTCAGGGGAATACAATACCTCCAAAAGTTTAAAAGTTATTAATTGTCACATACCTCTACTTCTACTTATTTCCTAAACTATTCCTCTCCTTGTTAATCTGCTTAATGCTGCCTGCGTTTTCTTTTTAAAATTCAAGACTAAATAAGAAGATTTATTCTACAACTTTAAATGTAAGTTGCCTAATCCTAATTCTTTTGTTAATCTAATGTTAATGTTAATGTCATTAGACTCTCTGAAGTTTCTTATTCAAGTTCATTTGATGATTATGATATCTCATTAGTCTAATTTAATAAATTTTCACCTAATCAATCATAACCCATGCTTTATTAAGTACATACACTTGTGCTTGTAATCTAAAATTAACGTGTTTCAAGTATTTTTGATTTAAGCCTATACCTATTTATTATATCTTAGTTCGACCCAGGTAACACCTTCATGTGACTAAAATGCTTCATTTTGAAGTTAGTTTCCTAGCTGATTTTTAAATTATATAGGGTATATGCTCCAATTACGCTCTCACGTTTCCACTATGTCGCACCAAAAAAAATACATATGGGTATGTCACAATAGAAGCACGCCACAGAGGAAATCCGGAGCCATAGTTCAAACACTTATCCCAAATCAAAATGAAGCACATATAAGATTAGTTACAATACCATGTACAAAAATGATGTTTAACATTGTTTCCTGAGTAATACTTCAATGAAAACAACAATGAAAGCTTGTCACGCAAATAGAAGGAGCACTGTTGGGCACTTTCTGAAATATTTCAATAGTATAATTCCCTTGCCCAAATAAATCTATCTGCGTAAAAATAAATAAAAATAAGAGTGATTTGCGGCAAAACCCACCAGTATCACACCCAACGTCAGTGCCTATACGTAAGCGTACTACGACGCGGCTCTCAATTAAAGAAGTAACAAGTGTGATACTATCACTGCTAGACTAGATCTTTGGTTCTCTCATGCAGTGGTTTATCAGAGAGGGGAAGCTTAGTAATCCCCATTGCCTGCCCATGACGCCATTCTATCGCGGCATGAGGCAGCAACGCCGACCATAAACCTACCGTCTCCAACACTCCACTATAAAGCATGAAATTAAGCCCGCCCACCAACAGCAAGGTGCAAAAACTAGCCAAGGGGAGGGAACAATAAATTGGTGATTTCTCGACCTATATTGCTTATTTCTATAAACAAATTTCGAAAATAGCGATATTATGTAGAAACAATATTTCGTACATTAGTGCAAAATTATTGATTATTTAAATTTAAAGTGAATTTCACCATACATTATCATGTCGAAAAAGACTCGCTCTCTGGTAGTGAGTGCTGATAGAAGCAGTACGAAGCACCCAACTTATCATCAAATAAGTCACCACGTTTCATATTAGTCTCCCACATGAGAAACCGTTTCCTACAAATTACCCTCTCTAACCACCCGTGGCCCGAGAGTGGTTAATGGTCCATGTTCAGTGAACACTGTTTATCTTTCTATGTTATTCCCTGAAATTTCTTTCGTTCTACCTACACTTCTCACAACAACCACATTTCGTTCTGTTTATTTACACCTTCCATTACACTTGAATCTTGTCTATTTCTTCCGTCTCATTTGCCCATTGATGGTTGCCTTCGAATTCGTGTGATTTCTCTACTTGCTGCACAAGCAAGTGTCATCCATGTTGGCTCTTATCCAGGGCAAATATCGAACGACCCTTGTGTACACCCCCGGATAGCCTGCTCGTCCGCACCCAACGCCCCAGGAAACGATACCGACAATTTCGTGTTTGTCACCATGCCGCACCAACAATGGGCCTCCGGAATCGCCCTGACAGGAGTCCTGCTTCCCTTTACCCGCGCACAACTACAATGATAGATAACACATTTATGATTAATTCCTGAAAACTCACCACAATCTCAAATCTCACCATATTGGAAGTTATCCTCGAAGCCCGATACTTCATACTCCGGCACTGGTCCAGCGTTAGGATTGGAACGTCCACGTGCTGAACGATCCCCGGAAGCGAACCTCCCTCCGCCGTGCGACCCCACCCAACGACGGTACCAGTCAGTCCTGCGGGTTCGCTTCGGTCCTTCGGCAAGCATACCGGTTTAATGGTTTTCGTAAAATCCACCGGCTTTCGCAGCTTTAGTAGAGCGATGTCGTGATTGTAAGAATTCTGATCGAAGCTCCGATGGCGGATGATGGCCGTCACTGCTCGTTGGATCGCTTGCGTCTCGGTCGTGAGAAACTGATCGTGATCGCCCAGAATGACTCGGATTTTGTTGCGTTTCAATCTGCAATAAAATGACCCCCTGTTAGCAACTTTGAAAGACGGAGAAATGCTTAATTGAGTGGTAGAATAGGAACCTCCGAACGCAATGTGCCGCCGTGAGTACGTAGTCCCGTGTAAGAAGCGTTGCCCCGCAGTGGAATTGGCCATCGTAAACCAGCCGCGCTAGCCATGGATATTGATTGACGCCGGTTGGTCGTCCTCCGACGATACGAGTCTCTTGATTTGCTGTTCCGCACTCTGAGATTGTTCGAAAAGTGGTTGGAGAGAATAAGAGAGGAGACAGAAATGTAAGTGAGAAAATGAGCTACTAACATAGCACGGATTGCGCCTGTTGAGCAGGCAGCATGTATTGCGTAGTGCATACTTTGCAGGCGTATATGTTGGATGGGTTTAATTATTTATGTTTAGTATGTTCGAAAAATAACCAGATCTGTAAGAAAAGTTGATTTTATAATTTTGTTAATGTTGGGATCTATATATATATATTTAAGATAGTAGCCTTGCAAGAAACGAAAACGTATGTTTTGGACCATTTTACCCCCATTTTCCCCTACTTTTTGGAGGAAATGTTTTTTTACAGCTCTATTTTTCGTAAAACAGAAGCACTTTATGCATGGTTTTAGAATACTATGTCTTCAAACGACGTTTCATGAGATATTAGGGGAATACGGGGCACACTTTCTAGGGGAGTAAGGGGTAAAAGTGAAAATACAATCAATGTGTTTTAATACAAAATCCATTTTTTTTAATATCATAATATTTTTTTCTGAAAAATTCTTTTAATTATCTTTCATTTGGTATTTTGAGTTTCGTCATCGGCCCAACAGTTCAAAAGTTATAAATTTTTGAAAAAAATCGAATTTTTTTTTTTTTTTACCGCCCTAATATATAAATAGTCACCCTAATGACAAAATAAAAAAATACGGGTCTAATATGTTGCGATAAGGAACAAAACTACCAATTTTTACAAAATTCTGAGAACCACTACATATATCGTTTTGCTGTTTACAGACAAAAAAGGTGAAAACTCTTTTAAAACAGATAGCAGTAAATTAAAACTTATTTAACCCCAATTAACCTTAATATTTCGAAAAAAAAAATTTATTTCAACAGGTTCGTAATGTAATATCCTATCGATTGGCGTATTTGGATTTTAATTTCATCTATAAATGACAAAGTTACAAGCGTTCAAAACCTAACACTCCTTCACCACACATATTTTTTGACTTGCACCCCAGTATAGTCGACAAAGACGTAGTTCTACGTCAAAAAAATCTTATTATTGCAGGCAACCTTTGAGGTCATTCAAACAATCGCATCGTTCAACATCTTTATGAATTAAAATAAATTTAGCGAGGGTTCACTTTTACCCCTTACTCCCCTATAAAGTGTACCCCGTATTCCCCTAATATCTCATGAACTGTTGTTTAAAGACATAGTATTCTAAAACCATGCATAAAGTGCTTATGTTTTACGAAAAATAGAGCTGTGAAAAAAACATTTTCTCCAAAAAGTAGGGGAAAATGGGGTAAAATGGTCCAAAACACATACTTACAAGGCTCTCCGGTCTATGGGACCACGCGCAATCGATTCCCCGGACGATTTCTCTTCGGAAAAGTTGTTTTTCATGGCCGGAATTCAGCGTGCTGTTGAAATATTGAATTTTGGGTAATTTTGGACCCATTTTTGCCCATAGTGCATCGACTGGAAATGCTCTCGCAACGTGGGGCTTTAGGTAGTGATGAAACGTCACTAGAATCATTCCACAGCCGCAGTCAGTTCTAAGCAGAAGGAGGACGCACATCTTTTGCCTGTAGACTTGAAGACATACTTCAAGTCTCCGCGTACATCGTACGGGTTAGGCAAAAGATGTGCGTCTGACTTCAAAAACTGTCGCGCATTAATGGCCCTTCGCTTATTTTCAACTTCTATTCAATTTTCATACTGCCGTACTCTAACGGAACTATCCACCTACCCTCTTCTAAAGATCATTCTCTAGCTAATAAATTATCACACTAAAGCTTCATGTTAGCATTTCCAACCAACTCTGAAAACGCGAACTTCGCATATGAAGTAACATAAAAACACTTTGGATAATTATATAATCATTTAAAATCTCGGATACCTTTTCAAAAGGACGAATCAGTTTTGTGAACAAAGATTAAAGTGTCAATTTTTCAAAACCCTTAGCACTCCCACGCAAATTAACACCACCATCAGGTAGGGTAAATATTACTCATTATTAGTTAGTTTTCGTGCTAAGAGCATCGAGAAATTGGCGTTTGAATCTTAGTTTACAAACCAGATACGTCCTTTAGAAAAATTATCCGAGAAATGTTTGTTCCTTTAGTCGCTCCTTGGTTTTACAACTATTTTTATCGGGGGTGGGATGTGGCTGTCAAATACAAACAATCGTCACCTCAAATGGTTCCAAATGTAAAAAACCATAAGAAACCTGCATGGTTTGTTTACGTTTGGAACCAATTTCATATTAAGAATGATCAGTAGGCTGATTTGACTGCACCCCAAGTAACAAATCTAGAGCTGCTTGGCTATATTCAAAATTTATAAAGGTTTTATTGCAGCTGCAACCATTACCTACTGCTTCATGACGGTCATATACAATGCAAGTCATGAAACATTCTTATAGCTATCTACACAACCCCTATAAAGGTAATGAAAAAACCTACTGATGCTTGTGCTATTTTCACTTATGAAAGGTTTTATGATTGCTTTGAAGCATAAAAAAAAAGTAATATGAATTGCCCTTATAAAACCCAAAAATAAATCCTTTTGTTGCTTTATAAGTAAGCGCAATAAAACTTGTTGGCCATGAAACAGTTATTTTAAAACAATTATAAGCATTCAGTTGCAACTTGTCAGAAATGTAAATAGGCGGTTTATTTTTACAACATAGAAAAGAATCAAAACTTTCCGGTACTTCCAAGCGGAGCGCAAAGAAAATCAACAAAATTGTTAGCATGAGCATGAAAACATTTCGTGTATACGTATACGCGACGTAGTGTGCGTAATAAAAACGTCAGCAATCTCCATGATTCTTCCGTTCTCGCTCGCATATACATGGGGTGACACGGTCGAATCTTGGTCGAAATACATGGAATGGTGACAGTCCTAGGACAAAAAGATTGAAATCACGCATAACTTTTCATAAAGGTTAATGTACCATTCAAAACTTTTCCAAATGTTTGTAAAATTCATCGGTTGCACCCGTAGAACAGGAATATACATTTGCCCTCAAATAAAAAAAAAAAAAATTCAAGCTGAACATTGCATTAGGTCCTAAGTAATATTGACAGATTCTCTTCGTCGACTTTCTCTTTGCAACCCCACGGTCATGTAAAGACATTCCCAGGTATTTTCAGCACATAAATCGATAAAAGAAGCTTTTATCTAGCATCCAATACGACATACACATCAAGAAACGGTTCGGTAAATAAGTTATTAACGAAAGAGAAAGTCGACGAAGGGAATCGATCAATGTTACTTAGGACCTAATGCAAAGTTCAGCTTGAATTGTTCTTGTAAAAAGAAAATAGTTCTCGTAATAAAATCATGCATTATGCTTTTCTGTTCTGCTTTCATCCTATGCATACTGGGCCAGGAATGCAACCTAGCGGAGCAAAATTAATAACTCCGAAACGAAGCATTTCCGCGACTTGGTGTCTTCGGCAAAATTTCCCATCATAATAAGGACCATCTATTGACATAAACAAATAGTTCAAAACTCTTCCGCAAAGATGGTGCCACAATCTAACTTCTTTCTCTGACGGTTTTGGAAACTTGATGTCTTCGGCAAAGTTGTTTATCTTGACAAAATGAACAGCTCTTTCAAAGACGTAAAATTTCCACAGTCTGCTGGTTCCAAGTTATATAGAGTTAAAGAAAAAAAATGTAAAAAATATGGTTTTCTCTTTAACTCCATATAACTTTTCTTTAACTCCATATAACTTGGGACCAGCAGACTGTGGAAATTTTACGTCTTTGAAAGAGCTGTTCATTTTGTCAAGATAAACAACTTTGCCCAAGACATCAAGTTTCCAAAACGTCAGAGAAAGAAGTTGCTGGTGTTAGAAGCAAACATATTGTAAACATTGCTGAGCTCTTAAGTGACAATGTCACACCATTATATAATGCGAACAGATAGAATTACGTCACTGCCAACAGGACCATCTCAGAATAACTTCGAACAGTACTGAACTTTACAAAAGTTTTAAATCACTTCGAAAAACTTGGAAACACTGGATCCGTGTATTTAGCTAATAACATATTCAAAAACTTCAGAAAAACTTGAGTTCAGTAGCGAAAATGTTCTTCTTTCCTTTATTTAACGTCGGTTTCTGTTCCGCAATCTAGTGCCAATCACCGACGGACATCGATTGCCATCCATTGACGACAATCGAATGTGCAGGAAGGCAGCTTCCACACCTGCGAGGATATCGCATCCATTCATCAACACATATGGGCCGGGACCAACGGCTTTACTTCCCTCCCGAAGGAAGACGTGACCAGAGATTTTTATGCCTCAGAAAAATCCCACCGATCTCGGCTGGGATTGAACGGGGTGTTAGAAAGCAGTCACGCTTACCACTTCACCACCGGCGCCGGCTGTAGCGAAAATGTTGAATCACTCAAAGATAGACTCACTTCCAAAAGTGTTAATTTTTCTGGACTGATTTAACACTTTCGGCAGTAATGTCATGAGTTCTTGGGAACGTCTAAAACAAGAACCTGATATAAACGTAAAAATCTGGCACTGAAACAGTAAACGTATTGCCTATTAAGGTTTCCAAAGGTAATATCAATTGTAACAGCACAAGCATATCTGGTTCTTATTTCAAATATTTGCGTAGCGAGTTTGGCATTCCACTTTTGCTAAAAGTAGCAAAGGTAGGGTTCACGAGGCTTCCTTAATAAAAGCTTACTTTACGAATGTAAGGTTTCTTGAACGAGAACCACATTTGCATCATTCCACATATATTTTTATGGTTGCTGTTCTTTTATGCTGGCGATTGATTTTATGCTTAACAGTAGTCATAATGATATCACAAATCCACCACCTCCAGCATGAATTGAACAGCATCGTAGAATCCAAATTGGTAATGATTTGTAAAACGCCAGAGGTATTCTGAGTAAAACGCATAAAGCTAATCCATCTTCTTCTTCTTCTTCTTCTTCGCATTTCAAGCTTATTGCATATCGCATATTAGCATATTGCG